GCTGGCAAGCGAATCCCTGTAAAAATCAATGGGGCCGAAGCAGGCTCGAAAGCAGCACTGCATGTCGGCTTTGAGTCTGTCCCTTTCTGGGTTGGGTTTTCTGTGCGGCTGTGTTGGTGGGTTGTCAGTTGATGCCATTGATTGCTTTGGACCCTCCCGTCGTTACATCCACAGAATTGACTGGGACGCCACGCGTAAGTGGGCCTATAGTAATCCTTGTGCTCGCACTGTGACCTGTGGCGCCACGTCGTCTCCTGCGACCCTTGCGGTCGCGTGTTGGTTCGTCCTGCTACTTCTTGTATCTGGCACCCTTGTGGTGAGCTGGGCACTTGCGAGCATGTTGCGTGGCTTTGTCCTTGCAGGCAGGCCGGCAGGGTCCTTTTATCCTCGGCCTCGCTTGGCGCTCTCTGCCAGGTGGGGTTGGGTTGTCAAAACCAACAGGTTGACTATGTTGCTCTGCATCGTTGGTTGTTTACAGTCCAAGAAAATCTCTGGGCAACTTTTCATCCCACTTGAATTGCTTGCCGCTTCCCTGAACTCTTGGTTAGGCTGCTTGCTCGCTTGGTTGTCTTTCTTGTTGGGTTGCTCTGGCTCCTAGTCGGCCGCGTTTGTTGCCTTGTCCGTTGCTGGGTATTGGCACCTACAACGTTTTATCCTGTTGGCGGGTTATCACGTGGGCTTTCTGTAAGGCTGTGCTGGCGGGTGCCGGGCTTTCTGTGAGGCTGTGCAGGCGGGAGTTGTGAGATAAGCAGCAATGCATGTGGGCTTTCTATGAGTCTGTCCCTTTCTGGGTTGGGTTTCTGTGAAGCTGTGTTGGCGGGTTCTCACGTGGGCTTTCTGTAAGGCTGTCCTGGCAGGTGCCGGAAAAAAAAACAGTGCTTTCTGTCAGGCTGTGCTGCCAGAGTTGTGGCAGACCAGCAGCAATGCATGTGGGTCTTCTGTGAGTCTGTCCCCTTTCTGGATTGGGCTTTCTGTGAGGCTGTGCTGGCGGGGCTTTCCGTAAGGCTATCCTGGCGGGTGCCGGACAAAGCAGTGGGGTGGCTTGAATTTCCAGATTTTCGGCCACTGTTGCGTTGGGGGTCCAACCTTTGCCAAGTCGTAAAGGGTTGGGGGGCTTGTCGAAAGGAGTGCCGGCAAACTCTCGTGTTTGGGGTCTCTAGCCTTGTACGCTCTGTGGGAGGTTCTCGAGGGGCCGGCAGGCATGGTGCCAGTGGCTTAGCTTTACCTAGGCGCCGCGTACACGTTCTCTGCCGCTCGCGAAGCTCGGGCCGCTTCGGGCTCCGCGGAAAAATACAGTATAATACACACCAAAACCCTGTTCTTGCTATTAAGGCCTTCATTACGGGTTTAAGTTTCGTTCCTAAGCCGCTTTAGCACTTCGGGCCTGTAGTGCCATGGTCTCGGATCTTTGTGATGGGTTCTGGTTTCAGATTTCAGAACGGCTTGCATGTAAGAGGTTTATAGGTTTTTGTTTGAGAGTGTTCTTGTGTTTGTTTTGGTTCAGGATCTAGCTTCGGTCTCAGAGGCCCCTAAGGCCCAAAGTTTGAACCCAACGCCTCAAAGAATCATAGGGGTTTCGATGCTTAGAATAGGGTTTTGGTGGTTCATTACAGTTTGGTTTTACAGGAACAATAAGAGGACGTTTTGATTACAAGTTGTCCGACCTCTACATTGTAGTTTCCCGGCTTAGGTCCCACTCAAACCCTGTTCGAGGTGTTTTGAGGCCATTGTGAAGGGGTTTAGGGGTATACTGGGTTCTTGTGAAGGAACTGAGTTTTAAGTTACCATAATCAGGAAACCATTTTTTTCCTATAGGTGCCTAGTCTGGCAGCTTAAAGTAAGTTCTTTTTTTTGGAACCCAGCATATGGTACTCAGCAACCTAACGACCCCACTCCCCTCAAGTTTCACCGGTAATGTAGACCCTTGACTAATCAGTTCCTGTTTCTTGCCTAAACTTTACCTTGCAAGTTTCAGGCCTTTCAGACCACAAGAGCCTTCTCCTCCATGTTCTGCACTCAGCGACAGATTCTCCACTCAATTCCGCCAGCCAGGAATTGGCACGGAAGCAGCGGAGCGTGAGGAAGACCAGGGGAACTACCTCACTCCATCGCGAGTCGGCTACGGGGCTCCAACTGCTGCAGGCTTCCTTGCACGTGAAACTATGTAGCCATCTGCTTGGTGGACAAAAGCGGAAAGACTCGTCAGCCTCACGTCCCGGCCCAAGGAGAGTGCGATACTCTCCGCAGTGGCGTGGACCGGCCTAGCCTGCACGAACTTGCCTGTGAGGTCATGGGCAAGAACCTCAAGGTGGAACTCGCGATCTCGGCAAAGCCGAAACATGCCAGAGACATTCTGGCCGGCTTGGATGCTCGAACCATCGTCAGGCGCAAAGGTTTTTGGAAATACAAACCCGGCGGGCTGCTGGTGATGAGCACTGTCAGGAGCGAATTGGGTGCCGTGGTGGACGCCAGCTGCTCTTGGACGCCAATCCTCCTTTTTTTTTTGGGGGGGGGTATAATCCCTACCTCGTCACCCCAAATTAACCTCTAATTTGTCCGCTAGGATATTGGACAAGTAAGCTCCAAACCCGCAAGGCTAGCAGCTAGCACGCTGCGCGATAAGATGTGTGTTCTAAACATTTACGGTTCAAACCTTAAGGTTTATAGGGTTTAAACTTTAGACTTTAGAGTTTAACTTTTGGGTTTCAACTATGGGTCCCAAATCCACAGATATTTAAACATGCAATGCCATCCGCAGAGACAAGTCTAACACAAAGGATGGTATCAAAGGTTCAGAGAGTATATCATGAGCTTAAACCGTAAACCCTAAGCCAACTATGATCCTCAGGAGTCCCTCAGTCCCAACCCCTGAGCCTTAAGGACACTTAGCAAGACGTAAAGGCGTAGCTCGGAAGAGCATGTTGGAGTTTCAGTAAATCACGGGATCCTGATGGTAATCATTTGCAGTTCCCCTGTCACTTTCCGAAGTTCCCGCATTTTAAGTTTCCTGGCCCTGAACCTCAAAACCGAAACCTTCACCCCCTCCGCCCTCGAAAGCCAACCATGTCTGCGGCAGTCCAATCGCACACTGCAGAGCCTGCAGGCGCTCGGGATGCTGATCTTTAAAGGGTTCCTTAAACGCCCTAAACCCTATTTAGGGTTTAGGGTTTAGGGATACTATACACGAAACCAACCTTAAACCCTAAACCATGAAAGTGCTCGATGGGGTTCCTCGAAGCTTTCCTCAGTGCTTTGGGGGTTTACGGTGTGCGAGTTTACGATGTAGGGCTGAAGGGGCAAGTCTTTGGGGTCCCGTTATCGTGCAGGGTATTCAAGCGCTTCATCCGACGCTGGCATGGTGATCGTGACGGTGACGTCGACCATGGCTGTGGCCACTGTGGTGCTTCCGCCCGCACTATCGTTCAAGCACTGCGGCCATGACAAACCCAAAGTTGCGCCAACTTTCAGGTTACTGGTTCTCGACGTACGTTCCTGCCAGCAACATAGAAGTTCTGGATTGCCGATGGCTTCTTCGAACACGGCTGCGTTTTGATGAGTGTACTGTTTGCTCGTCATGATGGGACGGGCACTCATGTCTATTCATCACATGCAGAACACCGCTTCTTCACAGCTTTTTATCAAATTCTTCTTCCCAGAGCATTATACCTGTCATTGTCGTTGTTGCTGTCATGCTTATTTCATCTTCTTGCCTTTGGCATGCCTGCTTGTTTTGACTGTTCGCCACCACGACGTCCATTTGTTATGTACTGGTGCTAGAAGCTCCGCCAAGAGAAAGACGCAAACGCTGTCGGGTTCATGGTTGCAGAGGGCCGTTGCAGCATCCTTCCCAAAAACCCAGTGTGAATATTTGGGAACCGTTTTTGTGCTTTTTGTGGTGTGGTATTCCTGTCCGCAAAAGGGGCCTTTGCTTTTCTTCCCCTGTGACCAGGGACGCAGGTGAGGGTTTAGTTTAGGATTCTTTCTCTCCGATTCGGATAAACTAGAAACTTGGCTGGGCATAAGGCTCCATATGTCTCACAGCCGAGAGGCCATCAGGGACTCTTGACATCAGTCTGACATCATTCCCTCATTATTGTTAGCCCTACTTACCAAGTTTCAAGAACGGATACGAGAACCTAAACCCCAAACTTTTGACCCCATCCGCCTCACGTTCATGGGTTCTGGGCTCTGGACTCAGGAGAGTACCGTGCATAAGGTTTGGTGGTCCCGGGTTTAGAGTTTCGGATTGCTTTCTGTTTGTTGGACGGGCTTGTAGCAATGCAGGAGTTGGGAAAGGCTTGGGGTAAATGGTTCGGATGTCTACCTCGAGCCCTGCAAATGAATAGACGTGCTTCCTGCTGAGCAGTCACGCCACGCCAGTACGCAAACAGTAACATTCAATTCCAGACTTACATCACCATCTAACATGGCCATCTCCTGTCCCCCTCTCCGCAGCTATGTACTCCGTCCCACCCGACTTCATACCTGTAGTAATATCCCTTTATAGTCCCTAGTTTTACCAGAATATACTCGCTCCCGCCCCCCCCCAAACCGGTTCGGACTCGTCAGGCCCCAATAGTACACCTCTACGGTAACCCTAAACCCTAAACCCCTA